GCTGGAGCGGATGGCCTGCCGCACGCAGTTGGTGATCTCCTTCATGTCATCGCTCATGTTGCCGGAGATCTCCAGGTCGTGCAGTGACGGGGGGAAGTGAGGCACTGGCGGCACCGCGCTCTCCACCGCACCGCTGTCCAGCAGCTCCCGCTGCTGCTTGGAGAAGTTGCCCAGCCACTGGCTGTAGGTGCCCTCGGCACTGGCTGACTCCTCCGGCTCCTTCGGCTTGGCCATGGTGAACAAGAATCCAGGTTCAATCATGATCTTCCCCTCCTTGTTGTGCACCAGAGGTGCCTCCAGCCGCCGCACCACCGGTGGGCTGTAGTAGATGCGGATCCCTGTCTTGTCAGGTGCTGTGTAGCTCCTCTGTATCTGCTTCTGGGCTGGGTCTTGCCCAGAGAGGCTGTTTGCCCGTGAGTAGTCCCAGGAGGAGATGCCAAGCTTCTCCTTGGCCAGGCTGTCAGGGGCAGGTTGTTCAATATTCACATATGTACAGTTTGAGGGAGGAAGGCTGGCGCTGTCCCGGATCCCGTTGGGCAGCAGCTGGGTGGTTGAGGATGCCTTTTTGCCCAGGGAATGGTCACCCAGCCCTGGCACAGTCTTTCCAGGGAGGTAGGGAGAACAGTCAAGCAAGCTTTCAAACTCTGACATGGAGGAAACAGACTTGGTCCTGTGGGAGGAGAGAGCATGGGGATCAAAAGGGCACAGGGCAGCAGGTTGGGAGACAGCTGGAAGAACTCTGCTCCCACCCCAACAAGACCTTCCTGGTCACCTAGTCCTGCCCCTCATGGGGAGCCTTTAGCTTCCAGGACTACCCTGCATCTGCCCCTGACTGTCAGAGATGCCAAGCCCAGGAGCCTCCTCCATGCTCTGGGGACCATGAAGACACCAGCACACTCACCTTTTGAGGTTGGTTCCCTTGGCTTCTGCTTCCGAGATTGTCTCCTTGTCTGTGATTTTCTCATTGAGAGCCTAGGAGGGCACAGGAGAAAGCTCCGGGGTCAGCAAGCACAGCACCAAAGCATGGTGATGGGCTGGAGAATGGGCTGCATCCTGCTCCCCTCCAGCACTACCAGCTCACACACATCCAGGCCCAGCATCCCATTCCCAGGGCTGCATGGGGCTCAATGCATCCACATCTATTTTAAATTAGCTTTTCATAACCCCACGGAAGTCCTGAGGGTTCAGCCTTACCCTCCACCTTCTCATTCTTCCCAGTTCCAGGTGCTCCCACTTGCAGCTTCACTAGCTGTTCGAGGGGGTGTTATTTGGGGTTCACACAACCTCCCATCAGCCTTAGCATAGACCTGAGCCCAGTGAACACCATGAGAGCCCTCCACCTTCTCTGACCCACCTCTTTCCAGTTGCTGCCATGCTTCTCCATTTCAGAGTGCTTCAATGCCCATGGGTTGGTTCCCTTCTGCAACTGGAGAACATGTCAGTCACTCAATGGGTGCAAGCCACAGCATTCACCAGAGGCAAGTGGCAGAGGCTGGAGGACACGTTCAGGATGGGGGACACCATACCTGGTTGAGTTTGTTCTGCAGGTCCTTCGCTTGCTGCTCTGCCTGCTGCTGCTCCTCCTTGAAGCGGGCCAGCAGCTCCACCTTCTCCTGGTTCCAGTTCTTCTCACTGATCTGCAGCTGCTTCGTGAGGTCCATGACGGCACTGTAGGACTCAGCCAGGAGATGTTGGTGCTCCTCACGCTCCCTCTTCAACGCCACCTTCCAGTCTGGCAGTGCACGCTCTGCAATCCCTTTGCCTGCCTTTGACTCCAGCTGTGGGGACATGTTGGTGGCTGTGGGGGACCCATGGCTCCAGTGTGGTGCCAAAGGGGCAAGGCTGTGGGCATCCCACCTGCCCAGGTCAGGCAATAAGTGTGTCCCCAAGGCCCTGTGCCGTGGGCACAGCTCAGCCTGGCTCACAGCCACGTCGTGCCAGCTGGCCCGGCAGACGGTCACCCAGCAGGACACGGCCTGAATGTCCTGCCTGCCCGGCTGTGCCTGCACTCCTGCCTGCAGGACCTGGCTCCTGGAGAGGGGCAGCATCACCTGCAGGGCTGGCAGAGTGGACCCCAAGGATGCTGCTGCCATTGGAGTGCTGCCACCACCGCAGCTCTGCTCTCTTTGGGGAGCAGTGAGGGGAATTAGGGACCATTGCTGAGCTCTGCCTGGAGAAATTCTGCCTGGAAAGTGTTGGCACCTGCTCTAGGGAGCAGAGCTGAAGTACAGCCATGGACTGCTGCCAGCACAGTGTGAAGGAGCAGAAACCCCTCATCACTGGGAGGGCAGGGCTGAGGGACTGATGGGACTGCTTCTGCAGGCAGGAGCATCCCCCAGTGCCCAGGCTGCCCTCCCTCCACCTCCTGCTCTTGCCATGGCCATACCTTTGCAGCATCCCTGGGGGTGCAGAGCCCCCACCTGTGTGCCTCAGGGAAGGAGAGGTGGGCTCTGATACTGCTCTCAGATGCCTGTCCTGGGGAGGGATGCTGAGCCCCTGTCCCATTCCACCCTCCCCAGACAATAAAGGAATAAAGACCATCCTCTGCTACTCCACAGTCAGACTTCCCTGCCAGCCTCGTTGCTATAGAAACTCGCCTGCTGGAGGGGCTGGCAATTTACAGGCTAATTAAGATTCCCACAGTGCCACCCTGCTCCCAGCTCTGCCCAACAGCTAGCGCTTGGCACAGGGCACAGGCAGCACCTCAAGCCCCACCAGGCAATGTGGGGGCTGTACCAGTCCACGGGGTGTTCAGGGCTCCCACCTGGGCGATGTGGCACTTGAGCTCAGCACGCTCCATCTCCCAGGCAGCCTTGGCCTTGGTGAACTGCTGCTGCAGCTCGCTGGCACCGCGTCGCTCCTCCCGCAGCCCCGGGCATCCCCCAGGTGTCCTTGGCCGTGTTGAACTGCTGCTGCAGCTCGCTGGCCCCGCGTCGCTCCTCCCGCAGCTCCGTGCACAGCTCCTTCAGGGTCACCTTCATGTCCGCCAGCGTCTTGATGCACTCGTTGGGCTGTCAGGGGAACAGGGGTGAACACAGGCAGCTGGGGCACCGTGCCAGAGGGGATCCAGTGGGGTGAGACCACCCCAGCCCTGCTGCTCCAAAGGCAAAGGGACTCTGAAGGACATCTGAGGGAGTTGGGTTTGTTTAGTCTTGAGAAGAGGTGGCTCTGGAGTGACCTCATGGCTCTCTACAACTACCTGTAAGGAGGTTGGAGAGAG